TCTCTCCAGGTGTTCTACCCATTTAGTTTTTATTATTTTTTCCAATATTTTCACTATTACACTTGTCAATGATACAGGTCTATAATTGAGGGGGTCTTCCCAGCTGCCACTTTTGTAGATTGGAACTATGTTAGCCTTTTTCCACACGTCTGCTACGGCTCCTGCACACAGGGATGCCTGAAAGATCAGTTGAAGTGGAATGCTGAGCTCAGATGCACATTCTCTCAGAACCCATGGTGAAACTCCATCTGGACCAACTGCTTTGTTCGTACTTAGCTCCTTTAGCATATTTTCCACTTCATCTCTAGACACCTCTATAAGCTCTATGTTGTTCTCTGGAATTCTTATTGTGTCTGGTTCTCTGAAGATTTCATTTTGTACATGTGTAAATATGTGTTGGTGTTCTGCGATCTTCCTCACAGGTAATACACTGCACTAGCTATTTTTCCTCTCTTCAGTCATAGCCACCCTTGATACTGGGGGAGTTCTGGATTTTCTATATAGGGAGACTTCCTAGATTTTTTTCTCTGAATACCGGTGTAGGGTGGCTCGGAGTGACGCTGCCTCAGCCTCTACTGTACGACGACTCTTATCCTACTGCATAGACAACTTCAGACATAATCCACTGGCGATGCTTCCAGATTATTACACGGCTGTGCTGTGTCGTGCCGTTATATTGCCTACACTCTACAGGCGGGATTATACGGTCTGGCGACACCATCAGCCAAGCACTGGTTCTCAATTTTTGGATGAGTGTTTGGTATTGTTTGTGGTATGTTGATTTGACCACTTTGCGTGCATCTTAATGTAACCTTAATATGTCCATATATATTGTTATTCGTTGCACTGTGGGCCATAGCCCCGAATTTTGATATTTTTTTATTTACTTTTTCGGCGACGGAATCTTTTCTTGCCTCTGGACACTCATTCATTGACTGTCATTCAGTGCCTGGCTGCACTCTAGTATATACTTTGGAATCTCTCTGTACATTACGTTAGCAATTGCTACCGAAGTCATATTAGTTTATCATATTGATTATACACTTTCTTGTCCCTAGCTGCTGGTATGTGGGGCATATTTATGATCTTTTCATTGCATATTTATGTATTTCCTACCTCTACGCTACACATTCTTGTGTATGTGTAGCATAGTATGTAGTATGTGCATGTTGGCTATACTACTGATATTGCTAGGCTGGACTATGTACATGTTCTGTTCCCTGATTTTGAACTGACCCGTGTTCAGTTATAGCACTGAGTTCTTCCATCTTCTCGTATCACACTACCGGCTGCTGTGTTACAATGTCTGCAGGTGGATATCGATTTCCATTCAATCACTCTTGCCCCCAACAGTTCATTTTCGTTCGGATGGGGGGAGCTAGGAATTACTGGCTAGCCTGTAGCCAGGCTACAGGCTAGTTTGTGTTAGTTTTCCATACAGGAATTTATATTTTAGTGCAGTACACGTCCGAAGTAGTTCTCATACATTAATTGGCAGCGTGTGTGTCTTTCTTCCCTGCTGGGGCTGGTTGCGCCATTCCTGCGGGATGCAGGGTCTCTGTTTTCGCTTTGCGTGTTGGCTCGTGGTGCTCGCTTCCTTGTTGGCCTCTGCCTGGGCCCTGACTCTTCAGTTTTCATCCCCATTTTTTCCTTGCTGTTTGCTTGGTCTACAGTTGGGCTGTTTCTGCAAGCGGCTTCTTCTCGTTGTCATCCGTTATTGGCCTTGTTGGTCTTTCAGGGGTCCTGGGGAGGTTCCTCCCGAACAGGACGTGTCTGCTTGCCCGGGCTGGTTCTTTCCCTGCTCGCAGGGTTTGGGTTCCTGGTGCCCTGGCGGACGTTCGTCTGGTTCACTGACAGCCTTGGTTTCAGGCGCTGCTTGCTCAGTATCCATACCCAGGGATTTTCCCACGGCTCTGCTTCTTTCAGATGCTCGGTCCAGTCTGTTACGGGGCCAGTTTGATCTTCTCCTTGAGTCTTTGTGTCTGGTAATTTTGACTTGTCTATCACCATCTGTTTGGTGATCAGGTGGCTTCGTTGATGGTGTCCCACCTGCGTGTTTTGTCCAGGCGGCAGTATGTGGTTTCCTGGCGGACCTTCCTTTTTCTTTTCATCTCTTCGTAGGTATACTTCGCTTTTTGTTGAGGTGGTCTTGTCCTTTTCTCTAGTGGCTGTTTCAGGACCGCCTTCATTTGCTGCATTCTGTCGCCTCATATCGTGTGGTGCTGGCGGAGCCGTTACGGTTTGCTTTTGTGTTTGATGTTCCATCTGCACAGTTTCACAAGCTGGCTAAGGTGTTATTTCACCTCTGTTCTGCTCATGCGGCGCCTGAGCCGTCCTGATCTTTGAACACGATGCCTTCTTATCTCTTCCCCTCGGTTGGTTGTGGCCCCTTCGACTCCAGATTGTTTCTCAGAAGTTTTTGCTCATTTGGGTTCTGGTGTTAGGTTTGTTGCAGCCATTCTTCTTTTTCTGGCAAGGTTGGGTCAGCTGTTTTTCAGGAGGGGTCCCTGGGGTTGTTCCTTGGTTGGTGTTGGCCGGGGGGCATCTTCTTGTGTCCAGTTGTGGCTCCCAGCCATTGCCTGCGTGCCATGGCCTCTTTGGCCCTGGACATGGTCGGCACGGTTTTTCGCGTGTTTTGACATCCTGTCTTGAACTGACAGGTGAATTGTCGGTGTGATGGGTCTGGGAGCTCCCCCTTTTGCCTCCCGGGGAGCGGGGAGCTACGCAGACAAGTGACATGGCAAATGTGATGTCATGCTTGTTTGCTCTTTTTCAGTTGGGGAGTTCTGTTTACTTGCTAGTTTTCTGTAGTTTAACCAGATTAGGGATTTGTTTTGGGGCGCCTACCTTTCTGGGTGCCCGGTCCGGTCAATGGCAGACATAGAATGCTCCACACACGTGTGCATTTCTATAGACCATTGCTCCTCGTACCTCTCTGAGGGGGAAGGGGCCAGGTTCTGGCTCGTGGTTCCCGGTAGGCCAAGAAATCCATTCACACTGACTGATGTCAATGTCTGATAATATACATATCAGCCTGCATAGCTCCGGGGAGCCTCCGGGACTCACCCAGAAAATGGCGTTTCATTATATTCAACGGTGGTTTTTTTTGTGTTGGCCAGTCTTACATATACAGCTGATAATATTCATTTGATGTTAGCTTCTGGTGACGTGTTGTGTGTGATATCAACCTCAAGTCTTTTTCTCTGTGATCCCATATGGTAACTTGCAGCTGGTCGTCTCCTGTTCTGAACACCTGGCTTTATTATCTTGCAATTGCTTGAGATTAACTTGAGTAACCACTTGCTAGCCCATTCTTTAATTTTGTCCAGGTTATCTTGTAGTTTCTTACAGAATTCTTTCATACACACCCTTATCAACATTTTTTACATCAGCAAGCATTGAGAGGAAGGAGTCTTATCCCAATTGGCAAGTTATTCACATATATTAGGAATAGGATTGGCTCTAGTGCCAAGTCTTGTGGAATGCCACTGATAGCATCTCACCACTCTGAGATATCTCATCCCACTGTGAATCTGTTTTTGCTGGAGAGGTACTCCTTAATCCATTGAAGTACCTTCCTTGTGCATGTTTCTCCATTTTATGCACTGTATTTTCTGTGGGGTACTATGTTAAAGGGTTTCTGACAGTCCAAAAATATACAGTCTGCCTATTCTTTTTTGCCTTGTGTGATCACAGTGGCCCAGTCATAGAAATTTATCAAGTTTGTGAGGCAGGATTTGTCATGCTGTGTTACAAGCTCCTCTTTCTAAATGTTCTACTTGGCTCTTTTTTATTCTCTGTAATGTGGCTGTGAAGCAGCTTAAGCTGGGCTTTTGCTTTATCTACAGTCTTATTTCCAAATTGCATTTTTGCTTTGCTTCTCATTCTGAGGTGCTCATTTCTGGCTCTTTCCTCTTCTTTTGCTCTTGCAGTTTTCTGTGCCTTTTTGATAATACATTTTCTTTCCATGTATCCTTGGTTAATAAGTCTATGCTGTATATAGATTTTATTTTAATAAGGTTTCCCCCTTAACTGTATGATTTAATTAGATATACAAAGAGAAATCACACTAACGTGATGTATCAATGAGAAAATCCATAGGAGTTGTGATGAGGATTCGAACCTATGCATTTGGTATTCCCAGGCACACCCTAGACAACTAGGCCACGACACCCCTCCAAATGCACTCTCTAGAAAGAAGACGAGAGAGAGATATCAAATAATATACACGTGGAAAATACCCGAGGGCTAAGTACCAAATCTACACAGTAAAATAACAACGTACTGGAGTGAACGATATGGAAGAAAATGCAGAATAGAACCAGTGAAGAGCAGGGGTGCCATAGGCACAATCAGAGAACACTGTATAAACATCAGGGGTCCGTGGTTGTTCAACACCCTCCCAGCGAGCATAAGAAATATTGCCGGAACAACCGTAGACATCTTCAAGAGAAAACTAGGTTGTTTCCTCCAAGGAGTGCCGGACCAACCGGGCTGTGGTAGGTAAGTGGGCCTGCGGGCCGCTCCAAGCAACAGCCTGGTGGACCAAACTCTCACAAGTCAAGCCTGGCCTTGGGCCGGGCTTGGGTAGTAGAACTACTCCCAGAACTCCATCAACCAGGTATCAATCAGGACAGGTCGTGGTCTAGTTATGTGCCAGTGGCGGGGAATACCCAGTGTGAAAGTTCGACTCCTCATCACAACTCCTACGAATTTTCTCATTGATACATTACGTTAGTGTGAGCCTGGGAATACTCAACGCATAGGTTCGAATCCTCATCACAGCTCCAATGGATTTTCTCATTTAATTAGATTTTTTTTAGGAAGACATAATTTTACACTACTTACTAAGTTGTAAGTTGCCCGTACAATTTTTTTTTTTTTTTTTTTTTTTTTTTTTTTTTGCGTGATTGTTAGTTTCTGTTATCATTAAAATTTTGGGGCTTGTCTACTTTATTCTTGTGGTATTTTATTTGAAGAATGAATGTTTTCTTTTTCAGGTTTTAGAGCATTATGCTCGGACCATGTACATGAGTTCTAATCCTGAGGAGCAGACACGCTTCAGACAGTATCTCTCACAGTGGATGACAGCTCTCTGCATGAATAATGAAGCTGAGAAAGTAAGTCACAAAATAGCATTTAACTTATTATATTGTAATAACTAATTGCCACAGTTTTGTTTTATATACCAGTAACATAATGAATACCTCGTGCTTGCACGCGAGGTCACGCAGCCATGTGGTGAGTGTAACCATGGTGTGGAGGACAAGCAGCTTGGGTCCACACCCATTATATAGCTCCAATACTGAATGATGAACTTATATCTCTGGTATCAGTATTGATAATGAAAATCTTTTCACGTGAGAACATTCATTAAATTTTGCACACAATGGTAACCGGTGGCACAGTGGTTAGCATGGTCGCCTCACAATCAAATGGTCCTGGGTTCGCATCCCAGGCAGGGTGAGACGTATGGGCAAGTATCCTTACACCCGTTGCCTCTGTTCACCTAGTAGTGATTAGGAACCTGGGTGTTAGTCGGGTGTTGTGGGTCCATCCTGGGAATGGTCATGTGCTACATGTATCCGAGGTATACTCGTATGTCCCACAAATGGTGCTAGACAGCATGAGGAAAAATAGCCAGAAGGCTACACATGAAACATGCTGTAAGGCAAAGAAATTAGAGCTGCAAGGCCACTGCACAGAGTGGGCTGGAAGGTCCCAGAGTAAGAAAAATAAAGGGTTCACATCCTAAGTCAAAGGGTGGGTTTGTACCCAAATAAGTCATCTACAACCTTAGTATGGCTAATAAGGAATAGTTCATTAAAATATTTGCTAAACTATAGTTAGTGGTGATCACTGAACTTCCAATATTGAGTTAAAAAGTGTGTACAATTCCCTGAAGTGTCTTTTATAAATGTATTCACAATCATATACTGGTACAGTGTAATTAAAATAAATGAAAACAACAAATTAAGATTATACAGTACAAAACTATGGAATAAACTGGCAAAAATATAACACTTGCTGGTTCTGTGGCAGTGTAAGATTCTGTTGGCACGTGCAGGCTTGAGTGGTGGAGTTGACTACGGTCGTTCAGGTTTACCTCGGGGGCGAGTTTGAGCACCTCAGTGAGTGCTTGTTCACGCCTGTGGTTCCTCGTGATAAGTGCAACTTAATGTGCAGGTTCCCTTCCTTTCGGCATCCCGGTAACTGAGGATTTGCACTCCCGTGGGCTTCGGACTTGCACTTTTTTTCCCTGCTGGAGCTGTCCTCGGGTTGGCTCGAGGATGTGGAGGAGCTAGGTTTCAGGCCTGTGTCTGTTGCGCATGCCTCGGCGGCTCAGCATCCGCTTATTGAAATCCGCTTGGGCCCTGGCTCTTAGGTTTTTGTACCCCTTTTGTCCGTTGCTGTTTGCAGAGTCTGCGGTGGTGCAATTTCTGCAGGCGTTGCCAGTCTATGTAGGACTTGTTGGTTCTCCAGAAGGGGTTACCTTACCTCGTGGTACCATGGTGTCCATGATGGTCCTGCTCGGAAGGGTCGTGCCAAGACTTGGGGTTCCTTCAGTCGTCATAAGCCAGTTGTGCCAGTTTCAGGGCCAGCCCCCTCCTGCAGAGTCGTCGGTGTCTGGTCTGGCACAGTATTTGCTCTGAGCGTTGGTTGGGCTCTCGTAAGGGTCGTCTGTCTTTTTGCGATTCACCCTATTCATGGGGCGATGGAGGGGAGGCTCGCATTGTTTGCTCTCACCTGGTCTCACGATTCGTGGGCATTTCAGGTCGTTTCCTCCTGCCTGCGGTGGTGTTGGGTGTCCTCCTCCTCCTCCTCCTTCGGGAGGTTCGAGGCTGGCGGGGCAAGCCTTTTCTCCTGTGCTCTATCAGGTCATCCTGGAGTGGGTTTGCTTGGGCGTGGTTGAAATCAAAGTGTCTCTCAAATGGGTTTCCTGCCTGTTTCCAATTCTGAAACGGGACTGTGCGGACCTGCTGTTCATTCTGGACCAATCCCCTCTGAACCCCTGGGTCTTTTGTCTCTCCTTTAGGATGACCACTCTGTCCCAGGTCCGGCTGATTTTGGAGCCGGGCTATTGGATGGTGACCCTGGACCTCTGGGACGCGTATTGGCACATCCCGATTTATCCGGGATTCAGGGACTGGCTCTGTTTTGTCATTGGGCGACAGGCTTACAATTTTTGTTGCCTTCCTTTCTGCTTAAATCTGGCACCTCATGTGTTCGCACACCTAACCTGGGTCATGGTGACCCTTTTGCTTCTGTTAGGCATCTGGGTTCTGGCTTACCTCGACAACTGGCTGGTCTGGGTTACCAGCCAGTCCACGTGTCTGCTCGCCAGGGATTTAGTTCTTTCCCAGCTCGTCGGGTTTGGGTTCTTGGTGAACTGGCGGAAGTACCATTTGGTTCCCTCTCAGGTTTGGACTTGGCGGGGTTTTGTGTGGTACTCTCAGACTGCTTCCTTATCTTCCTCCTGCAGCGTTACTGCTGCTACAGTCCCGCCATGGGCTGTTTTTGCAGGGCACCCCGGTCACTTCATTTGTTCGAACAGCTGTGCAGGAGTCTGAACTTCACCGTGCTGGTCTACCTTTCGGGTTGGATATGGCTTCAGTGGCTGTTCTGATTCCTTCGGGTACGTGCCTTTTGACACTCTCGCGATCGCTGTGTTCGGACCGGGGGGCCTTGCGTCAGCTGTTGTGTCGTCAGCTCCCTCTTCAGATTTGTTGAGGGTTCTGTACCATCTCGCCTGCCCGACCCCTCCCTTGATGTGTTCGTAGATGCCTCATCTCTCAGCTGGGGCTTTGTGACCAGTGCCCACTAGGCCGGCCAGGGTCGATGGGGTCCGTCCTTTCATCATGCTCACAGCATGGCACGGGAGTTGGCGGTGGTGGTGTGACATTCGCTTCAGAGGGTTCGAGTTGCTGGCAGATTGACAATTTGGCTCCATTCAGACTGTTGCTCTGTGGTTCATTGTCTGAACCGTGGGGGTTTGATGCAGTGCTTGCCTCTTCGGATGACTCGTTTGCTGAGTTCTCGGGGTTTGGCTCTCCTGGCAGATCATCTCCAGGTAGTGTCCGACGTCCTGGCAGATGGCCTGTCCCGTTTAATTCTCCTGTTCACGGAATGGGTGGTCAACACTGGTTTGTTCCATTGGTTCTGTCTGACATTCGGGCACCTGGAGGTGGACCTCGTGTCAGCTTAGTCGAGGCATCTTTCAGTACAGTGGCACCTCGACTTACGATTGCCCCGACTTACAATAATTTCGAGTTACGATATAAATTTGATTGAAAAATGCGACTCTACTTACGATAATGTCATCAACTAACGATATTGGTTGATTCATGTTCGGGTCGACCGAGTGCATGGTTCCCGGTCATGCGGGCCAACCTCCTTCAGTTTACTAGAGCCACCTGCTTAGTGACGATCACACTTATAAGATATTTTCTTTTTGTGGTGATTGTTTGCTTTTTGAACATAAAACTGATTATTATATATCACGCCATGGGTCCCAAGAAAGTGGTAAGGTTCAACATATGAAAACACATGTAAGAATGACAGAGGGAAAAACAAGATGATCATACGTAAACATGAAAATGGTACTCATATTGTTGAACTAGCTAGGCAGTACAACAAATCTTCAGAGGAGGAGGAGGAAGCGGCGGCATTAGAGGATGGCCCTTCCTCATTATTTAAGAAAATGTGTGCAGTAGGGGAAGAAGTTTTGGTGAAAAGAATCACCCAGATAAACCTGTAACAGGCCGTTGCATTTATCTTTTTAATGACAATGTGATGCCTCACTAAAGTGAGCCAGAAGCAGGTCCTAGTGGTATGCAGGCAAAATGTGCCAGTGTGTGTACCCTAGAGAAGTCCTCACTGCCTGATGTTATAATGGAAGGGGACTACCCTTCAAAACAGTAACCCCTCTCCTCCTCCCCTCTCCTCACCATCTTCCATACGCCATCAAGAGTCCTCCATTAAGATAAGATAAACATATGTACTGTATTGTAGTTGGAGAAAAAAATTGTATTCAGTATAAAATGTATTTTTAAGTTAATATCTTTGACGGTGCAGAACGGATTAATTCAATTCCCTTTATTTCTTATGGGAAAAATCGTTTCGACTTATGATATTTCGACTTACGGTATGTCTCTGGGAATGGATTACCATCGTAAATCGAGACCCCACTGTATATGTGGCGCCCTCCCCCGACTGTGAGGCCATCGGGGGTCAATTCCTTTCGAATGGACTGGTCGAGGTGGGGTTACCTGTCCCTGTTGATAATATTGGATTGTTGCTCCAGGTCCTGGCTTGCTTGGAGACTTACCAGGAAAGGGTACTGTTAGCTCCTTGGTGGCCGGCCCAGCCCTGGTTTCAGGTGCTGTTTACTCAGTGTCCGAACCCGAGGGTCTTCCCTCGGCTCCGCCTCTTTCAGCAGATTGGTCCAGTCCGGTATGTGGCTGGTTCAATCTCCTCCTCCACTCTTTGTGTCTGGTCTTTTTGAAGTGGGTTTATCACTACTTGTATGGTGATCAGGTGGCTTTTTTGATGATGTCCGACCTGCGAGTTTCGTCTAGGTGGCAGTATGAAGTTTTCTGGCGGTTCTTTCGGCACTTTTTGTCTCTTCGTAGGTTGTTTTCAATTTTTGATTGGGTTATTTTGCCCTTTCCCTCTTGGTTGTTTCAGGACCGTCATCTTATGTCGAATGCTGTCTCTTTATATCATGCGGCACTGGCGTAGCTGCTTCTGCTTGCGTTCGGGGTGAATGTCACTTCTGCTGTGTTCCACAAGCTTGTTTTACCTCCGGCCTGCTCATGCACCACCTGAGCCGCCCTGGTCTTTAGACCGGGTGCTCTCTTTTCTCTCTCCTCCTCGGTTTGTGGTGGCCCCTTTGATTCAGGACTGTTTTTCTTAGGCTCTTTTTCTTGTTGGCATTAGCTTCTGTGGGCCGGGTCGGTAAGCTTCATGCTTTACTCCGGCGCAGGAGTTTCTGCTCTTTTGATCTTGGTGGTCGGTTTGTTCATTTGCAGCAGTCTCCTTTTCTGGTGATAATGAGACTGCTGCTTTCTGGAAGGGTCTTTGGGTTGTTGATGCTTGGTTGGTTCGGGCGGGGGTGCATCACGTTTTGTGTCCGGTTGTGGTTCTTCCCCGTTACTTGCACGCCACGGCCTCGGTGGCAGGGGACAAGCTTTGGGTTTACCCGGTTTCCCCTCTTCCCTATTCCAGGGCGCAGGTCTCCCAGGTCGTCCGCATGATTTTTCAGTCGAGACAACCGTCAGTCTTTCCCCATGTCCACAACATTCTTAAGTTTGCAACTTTGGCTGCTGAGTTTGGTAATATGTCCTGGGCTGACATTTGAGGAGAGGGCTTTTGGTGGTCAGACATGGTCGTGGCCACACGATACCTCGTTAATGTTGCACTTCTCGGGCGTGTGTAGCCATGGATCGCAGGTTGCAGCCAGTTGTCTCGACTTCGAGTTGAGGAGCGAGTAGCAGCCGCCTCCTGGGTAAGTCCCTCTTTTCCTTACCTTTGGTTAGGTAGCTTCGGAGAGCTGGAGGGGCTCTCCACAGATAACCAGCGTTGAATGTAATGAAACGCTATTTTCTGGATGAGATCCGGAGGCTCCCCAGCATCCCTCCCTCCCTTTGGTCGGCGTATTTTTATTTTTTATTTTTTATATTCAGCCTCAGAACTTGGATTGGCTAGCCAGCGCCGAAGGTCTGGGACCCCCCTTTTCCCTGCTGGGAGGGAGAATTGCACAGACAGCTGTGCGGCGGCTGTGGTGACATCATGCTTGTTTGCTTTTGTTCGATTGGGGAGTTCTGTTTGCTAGTTTGGTTTTCGGTTTGCAATTTTTGACCAGCTGTAGCTTGGTTTGGAATTCCTACCTTTCAGGGAGCCTGACCTGGTAGATGGCAGACATAGGCTGCTTCCAATTACATGGGGGTATCTATAGGCCATTGCTCCTCGTGTCTCATCTGAGGGGGCCAGGTTCTGGCTCGTGGTCTCCGGGAGGTCTAGAACTACATCGATTGACTGTTGCCACGGTCTAATATATACACATCAGCCCGGTATTCCTCCGGGGAGCCTCCGGGTCTCACCCAGAAAATGACGTTTCATTACATTCAACGCTGGTTTTGTTAATAGTCCGTAATCTTTATTTTCTGTCATCTTTATGATCTTGGGCAATCAGCAAAGATGTGTTTGGTATAGGTCCTGTCCAAATAGTTCATTCTGTTGAGTGTCATTTGTGTATATGTAGTTCAGGTATGGTATTTATTATCAGGTTTATACTCAACAAAATTTAGTTTACATGAATTAACCCCTTAACTGCGTTGCCTCCAAATGTGACACCCCCGCAGTGCGCAGGAAATAAATTCTCTGGAAAAAATTCTTTTTTCTTTTTAAAGTGTCAAAAACCCTTCCCTCAGTATGGGTATGTAAAAAAAAAGTCGAAATTGTACTTACTTTGGCTGCTATGGGGTCCGGAAGTTGGGGCGTGACGTCATCATTCCCCGTGCGCCCGTGCCGTGAGCTCTCGGGGGCGGTGGGGCGCTCGGGGCGGGGCGCGCGAGTTGCCGCGAATATATTTTCGTTCATTTTTTGCGCACCTTTCCAAATACATTTTCATTGTTTTTATGTGCCAATCCAATGTATAATGAACACGTACACTATAATATCGCAGTACAACATCCGTACTGTCCGTAGACACTGTGTTACGTGCATGAAACTTGTGTACACATATGCAGCACATATTTACTATGTATCATGCTAATTTGTGTATATATACAATCTATTTACACACTATACACTGTCACACACTATATACATTCACTATCAACACATTCAGAACACCGTGTAGCAGCTGCTTCGTATGGGCCAATAGCAGCTGCCTCGTATGGGCCAATAGCAGCTGCCTCGTATGGGCCAATAGCAGCTACCTCGTATGGGCCAATAGCAGCTGCCTCGTATGGGCCAATAGCAGCTGCCTCGTATGGGCCAATAGCAGCTGTCTCGTATGGGCCAATAGCAGCTGCCTCGTATGGGCCAACAGCAGCTGCCTCGTATGGGCCAACAGCAGCTGCCTCGTATGAGCCAACAGCAGCTGCCTCGTATGGGCCAACAGCAGCTGCCTCGTATGGGCCAACAGCAGCTGCCTCGTATGGGCCAACAGCAGCTGCCTCGTATGGGCCAACAGCAGCTGCCTCGTATGGGCCAACAGCAGCTGCCTCGTATGGGCCAATAGCAGCTGCCTCGTATGGGCCAATAGCAGCTGCCTCGTATGGGCCAATAGCAGCTGCCTCGTATGGGCCAATAGGAGCATTTGGCCATGAACACATTCAGAACACCTCGAGTGAGAGCAGCCACACCCAGCCTGTCTCCCTCACTCCAACATCTTACTCGCCAACATTGCTCCTCCCACCATATTGTTATAGTTCTTATTACACATGTTCTATATACCTATCTACATGTTTTATTTACCAGAACTATGCAAGTAAGCCAGTATTGTGTCCAAACAGTACAGTGGCCACCATACACTGCATGAAAAATCACACAGCAGACGACGCTACGATTACGTCACCTCCCTCACCAAAATAGCTCCTCTCAACATTCTTCTGTTGCTGTTCTTACACTATATACACACACTATATATACCCATGTACATATGTGTTGCCCATAGCGAACCACTAAGCTAGTATGGTGAGCAAAACAAGAGTGGCAGCCACACACACAATGAGGCTACCTCAATTCTCGCCCTCCCTCCCTCATCAAAATTCCTCCTTCCACAATACTACGCACAACGCTAATTATAACCACATTCCTGCTATTATCACAATCCTGGTCACTAATTCCTGTAAATGAATAATTGACCACACGTTTATTTTGAAAACGAACCTAAAAAATCATTTGAAGATTCCTAGATGAACGAAATAATGCTGTGGTGCTGTGGCTAGCGCTGTGAACATCGTGAACAGCATTGAATCACTGATATTTGAACATTGTACCCAGTCATTATCACACTCAGGCTCTAATATAACACTATCATAGCTAAATAATACAAGTTATATATATATTTTGACATTATTAGGCGATGCTGTGGTCACATGCTGAACAGCAGTGCTGTGCGCTCATGCTGCGAGCGCCAGCCTTGGTTGCTCACACACTACTGAGGCTCCCACACCCGGGAATGTGGACCACGATTTTTTTTAAAGATGGCGTCTGTTTACAAGAGCCCTGAGGAAGCTGATGTGAACCCCATGTAGCCGCGGGAGTTTTGAATGGAACGTGAAAAATACAAATACCCGGAGGCGCGTTGCGCAAACCAGACGTGAGCCTGCAGGCGCGTTGCGCAGTTTAAGGGTTAAGCTTCAGCTCCTGGGCCTACTTCCCCCTAGTAATCATGTCATGTGATATATGTGTGTAGTGCTCACCCAATGTTACTTGTAGGTGTGTTTAACTGTGTATACAGTACATTCTGTGCTCCTCATAGAAGTATTATTTATATACACTATTCATTACACTTTATCAGTCTTTCATCATATGTTTTAAACCTTGCAGGTTTTTATTCAGAACAAGACAGCTCAGTTATTGTCGCTGGTGTTTATTGTGGATTACCCGTCTCGCTGGCCTTCATTCATGGCTGACCTCCTATCAATGCTTCAAATGGGACCTCATGCTGTTGATATTTTTCTACGAATACTTCTTGCTATTGATGCCGAGGTGAGATTCATCTCTGTCTTTGTATTTAGACTTCATGATAAAAGCAGCAAGTAAAATGCTGTACCAACTCTACAACAACTTTTTAACAAAGTAGAGTACTGAAGGTTCTGGTTCTTGGCCACCTGCTAAATAAAAGTCCACTACAGTAGTAGCAAAAGTGTTGACAACGTAAAGTATAGTATACGTACTACAGTAACTGTAATATGAAAGATATTCAAGAAAATAATTTGGAAACCTTTTGTTTTCGATGCTTCTAGACTTAAATAAAAGTGTGTATGTAAGCAGCGTCATAGAAGTAAGTATACATAAGTGAGCCTGGTCAAAACTTAGCAAAATATATATTTGAGCCTGAGAGAAACATCAGGATAGGTAATGAACAGGCCTGGTCGAGGACCGGGCCGCGGGGACACTAAAAAGCCCCGAAATCATCTCAAGATAAACTCAAGATAAACTCAAGAACATGGTGCAGTTTTTGTTCATGTTCCCAACACTGACTAAGATATTGAGCTTGATATTTGCCCGCTAATTGTTAAGACCAATGGTTATGGTAAGAGACTAGGTTGTCCATATTGCCTAATTCTACTGCTTTGGTAAGTAAGGTTTTATTTAAACTTTTGTAGCAATGTTTTAAATTAAACCATACAAATTTTGTTGTAGCCTAGGCAAATATTTTCTTTCCTATCTTAGTTCTTGTCTAGGCTTTTAAATTTTTTGGGGCTCTTATGGGGACATGTCCTTTATATTCAGAAGCTTCTGCTCATTAAGCTTAGTACTGTATTTAATTTTTTGCATCTCTCAGCTTGTATATGCAATAGTGAAGGTAAGCTGTTTTTCCTAAAGGTCAAGTTTGCCTGTTCTACATCTCATGGGTCCCACCTGCTTTACAATTTGGGTGTACAACTAACCATAGGCATTCGCTTGGGCCCACAACTTAAGGTTATTTGTTGGTTTTAACACTTTCGGCCATGCGTTACCCGTGAGGAAGCACCCATTGGCCCACCCACTACACCCCAATATCCCGCTCACAAATGTTTAGTATTGTTTCCTGTCGATAACATCAATTTTCGTGTTGTAACACTCCTTTTCCACCACGCTGCAATCTGATAGTACCTCAGGTGTATACCCCTTGTTCAAGCAGCAATTCACACAGTCGAACCGAGTTAACATAAGAACAAAGGTAACTGCAGAAGGCCTATTGGCCCATACGAGGCAGCTTCTATCTATAGTTACCCAATCCCACTCATATACATGTCCAACCCACATTTGAAACAATCGAGGGACCCCCACCTCCATACGTTACGCGGTAATTGGTTCCACAAATCAACAACCCTGTTACCGAACCAGTATTTACCCAATTCTTTCCAAAATCTAAACTTATCCAATTTATACCCATTGTTTTGTGTTCTGTCTTGTGTTGATACTTTTAATACCCTATTAATATTCCCCTTGTTATGTCCATTCATCCACTTGTAAACCTCTATCATGTCACCCCTAACTCTTCGCCTTTCCAGTGAATGCAATTTAAGCTTTGTTAATCTCTCTTCGTATGACAGGTTTCTAATTTGGGGAAATAACTTTGTCATCCTACACTGGACACATTCAAGTGGATTTATATCCATTCTATAGTACGGCAACCAAAACTGAACTGCCTAGATATAGTTTTGTTCAGTTTTGGGCCTAACCCGAGCAAGATATAGCTGAAGAAAAACACCAGGTGTCTTATGAACAAATCCACAAGGGCCGTGACGAGGATTTGAACCTACGTCTGAGAGCATCCCAGACGCTGCCTTAATTGACTGAGCTACGACACGGTCAAAAGAGTTGAAACCAGAAGTTCTACTGCCCTTACTTAGATCCTGCAGCCTCTCCGAGACACAAACCAGGGTTTCACACAACTCCCCCATGCACTCGATCTATGTCAATTGGCCGTTCTACTTCATTACACACAGGGAGGGGAGGTAGGAGCGGTCACTTGCATGGGACTATAACAATGAGGCTACCTCCTGGGTCGCACTACCTCGATGCCACATGGACCGTCACGAAAAATAGGAAGACATTGGCACCAATTTTAAAACCAGTCCCCCCAAAATCAGATAAAAACCTGAATTTTAGCAAATTTTCTGGGGAGAGCCCCTAAGGCTTCCCGGAGCTATATGGGCTGATATGCTAATGTCAGGCTTTGGCATCAGTCATGCATATGGAGTTCAATGGGCCTACCAGGGACCACAAGCCAGAACCTGGCCCCCTTAGAGAGGCAAGGGGAGCAATGGCCTATAGAAACCCCCGTGTGGTTGGAAGCGTTCTATGTTTGCCATCGACTGGGTTAGGCACCCAGAAAGGTAAGTGTCCCAAAACAAACCCCTATTCTGGTTAAAATTGCTACCAAAAGCCGAACTAGTGGATTGAAATCCTCAAACCAAAACGAGCAAACTAGCATGACGTCACACGTCAACGCACCGCTGTCTGTGCAGCTCCCCACTCCTTGGTAGGGGGAAGGGGGAGCCCCAGACCCCTCACGCCGGCGATCCACGCCCCAGTTCTTTCGGCTGGTGCTATAGGCAGCGGTTCTGTACTCTGGCTCCAGTGTCTTTCAGCACTGTGCTTCGTGTGTGGTGTCTGTTTTCCAGGGGTGCGAGAGCCAGGAGTATGTCTTCAGTACTCGGGCTGCATGCGTCTAGGGTACCCTTTCCTAGGTGCCCTGTAAGTACTGCCCTTGGAGCCTGGGGTTACCTTCCTCAGGTTCTTTGGGTCCTGCCTTTGCTGGGCTGTTTCACTGCTCAGTTTTTCAGCTTTTCGGGTACTTGGGTGTTTTGTCTCCCTTGTTTACCTTAGGGTTGAAGGCAGGGTGCTGCGCAGCTTGTTTTTACCATTCACAGCGGCCGGCTCTGTTCCTTGGGGTACGTTGTCTTCTTGCGGGGTTTTGTGTTTCGTTTTATTCTTGCCTGGTTGGGGGATCTGCATTCGTTGTAACTTGTGCTCGCCCTCATACAGATTTTTTGTTGGTGCCCCCTCCTAGGTCCCTGTGAGTGTACACGTCTCTAAGGTTCAGCTGTAGAATGTTGTTTGGTAGTTTTGGGTAGCCGGTTAGCAGCACCCTGCCTGAGATTACATGAGCGCGAGTCCTCTTATAGTAAACGCTCAGGACCCTGGGAATCCCCTAGGGGATGTGTGGGTCCGATGGATGTGTCCTCGGAGTCCCCCCCTCACTTTATGCGAGTTTGAGGGTTGTTCGGTCCCCTTGTCTCGAGGTGACCCTCACTGTTTTTGCCTCCATCACGCTGCCTGTTGGGTCGGTGACACTTTTGACCCTGAGTCCTGTGAGTATTGTTGCCTATTCGTGACTCAGTTTACCCAATCCCATGATGATTCCATGAGGGTACAGCAGCGCGGCGTTGCAGGTGCTGTTTCGGCTCTTGCAACGCACTAGGTTGGTTGCTCACTCGGATGCCCCGAGGCTGCCCCATTTTGCTTTTAGGGACCCAGACTTGGAGGTGGGGGTCGCCTCGACCTTGGTTCAGTCCGCACCTCCTCGTTCTTCCCCTCCTGTGGTTCGTTCTGGTCCCCCGCCCCTGCTTCTGGGGGTAAAAACATCTGAGGGTTTCAGAGTCGGGGTGGGGTTTAGATGGTCTTGAGACTCGGGCAGTCTCAAAGGATGCCCCTTCCGGTGTGGCGACGGAGGCATTTGAGTCTCGCCCCCAGCTGAAGCCTCCGGGTCTGACCAGTGGGCCTTCTTCCATCTGTGTGCAACAATAACTGTGTGCAACAAGTATAAACTTGACAAACATAACAAAAATAAAAACATTTCGTGTGTGTTTGACGCTCACTGATATGTTCCAGCGTTGTTTTATATTTGGCGCTATTCTAACTTACGCTTTGTTGATCTTTTTTACCTATGGGCTCATAGAACATTCTATTGCGAAAACATTGACACAAAAATGAATGATGTACATAGAAAATTAATGTCATGAGAGTGAAATAAGTATAAACTTTCAAAGCGCCGTGTGTCGTCCCGTCACCGATACCGGGTAACAATTTCACCACTTCCCACACTCCTGCGGGCGGGCCGCATCATTATTCTACGCTTATATTCATATCACCGTGTTGGGAATTTCATTGCGAGTTCATTGATACCAAAATTAACACTGTAGAACAAGTGTGGAGGTGATTACAATCCCAAGAATAAAAACATTTTGTTGCTGTTGGGCGCTCACGGCGAGTCATCTTCGTAGTTATTTATTTGGTGCTGGTATCCCTATACGTTTCGTGACTTTCTTTGCTGATGTTCTTCTAGAGAATTTTATTGCGAACATGTTGGTACCAAAATGAAATACGTAGCATGAGAACTAAGGTCAGAAGAGTAAAAAGAATATACACATTTTTGTTTTTACGCTTAAGCGATAAAAAAGCTGCGCGCACATACGGTTGGCTGAGTAACCTTCGCGGAGAGCGCGAAAGTGTTAAGCTTTCTTCGGACTGGCTCCGGTCGGATGTTGGGACTCTTGGGGCTGTTCCTGGGTCCAGAGCCTTGGGCTCGGTGGCTCGCTCGTCGGCTGCCATGTTGAATCTTTTCGCGCCGATCCTGCAGGATGTGGTTTCCTTGTTTTATGCTTCCTGGCTCGCGTGTCGGCAGGCAGTGCTTGCCTCCTCCTTGGAATCTGCTTGGGCCTTGACTCTTAGGTTGCTTTTGCCTTTTTGTCCTCTCTTTTTTGAGGATTCTGCCGTGGCACAGTATATTCAGCCTGCCTCGGCTACTTGCCGTCCTATGTTGGACTTGTGGGTTTTCCGGGGGGTCCCGTGGGGGGTCTTCCCAGATGGATCATGTCAGGGCTCGGGGTTCCTTTCGTCGTGGTAGGCCACAGGTTCTGGGTTCAGGTTCGGCTCCGCCTTTGGACCTGCCTTTGTCTGTTCAGCGCGGTGTTCGCTCTGTGCGGGGTTCTGGGTCTCGTAAGGGTTATCTTGAGATGATTTCAGGGCTTTTTTTTTAGTGTCCCCGCGGCCCGGTCCTCGACCAGGCCTCCACCCCCAGGAAGCAGCCCGTGACAGCTGACTAACACCCAGGTACCTATTTTACTGCTAGGTAACAGGGGCATAGGGTGAAAGAATCTCTGCCCATTGTTTCTCGCCGGCGCCTGGGATCGAACCCAGGACCACAGGATCACAAGTCCCGCGTGCTGTCCGCTCGGCCGACCGGCTCCCTCAAACGGAAAGGGGCGTCATCCCCTTTCGCAGTTTGCCCCGTTGATGGGGCATTGGGGGGGGGAGGCTTGCACTGTTCGCTCATGCATGGTCTCACGATTTGTGGGCGTTTTGGGTAGTTTCTTACGGCCTGCGGTGGCGTTGGGCGGTCGGTCCCTCCTCCTTCGGGAGGTTCAGGGTTGGCGGGCCAGGCCTCTTCCCCTGCGCTCTGTCAGGTCATCTTGGAGTGGGTTTGCTTGGGCGTGGTCGAAACGATGTCATCCCTCAGATGGGTTTCCCGTCTGTTCCCGGTCCCAAAACGGGACCTGCGGTTCATTCTAGACTTGTCCCGTCTGAACCCTTGGGTTCATTGCCCCTCCTTTCGGATGACTATGCTGTTCCAGTTCTGGCTTCTGTTGGAGCCGGGTGCTTGGATGGTGTCCCTGAACCTCTGGGACGCTTATTGGCACGTCTCGATTCATCCGGGGTTCAGGGACTGGCTAAGTTTTGTTGTGGGGCGTCAAGGTTACCGCTTCCGTTGTCTTCCATTCGGGTTGATCCTGGCACCTCGCGTGTTAACATGCCTTACACGGGTTGTTGTGGCCCGTCTACATCTCTTAGATGTTCAGGTGTTGGCCTACCTCTACGACTGGCTGGTTTGGGCTCCCAGCCGGTCTGCTTGTCTGCCAGGGATTTGGTGCTTTCACAGCTCGCCGGGTTTGGGTTCTTGGTGAACTGGAGGACGTCCCATCAAGTTCCCACCCAAGTTTGGACATGGCTGGGTTTTGTGTGGGACTCTTGGACCGTTTCCTTGTCTCTCCCTCCAGAATCTCTCCTGTGGCTGCAGTCTCGCTTGCTCCTGTTTCTGGGGCGCTCCCGGGTCATCAGGCGGTTGCTCGAGGGGTTGTGCGGAAGCCTGAACTTCGTGATGCTGGCCTACCCGCTGGGTCAGATTTGGCTTACCGGTTGTTTTGGTTCCTTCGGGGCCGTCCCTTCTGCATCTTTCGCAATCGCTGGGTTCGTCCCCTGGGGGCTTTGAGTCCGCTGCTTCAGCGCCGGCTTCCTCTTAAGGGTTTTCAAGGTTCAGTGCCTTAACGCGTGTTCACTGGTGCATCGTCTCTCGGCTGTGGCTTTGTGACCAGCGCTCACCAGGCCGGCCAGGGACGGTGGGGTCCGTCCTTCCGTCGGGCCCACAGCACAGTGCGGGAGTTCGCGGAGGTGTGGTTTGCTGTTCAGAGGATTCGGGTCACCCGCGGTTCGACTATCTGGCTCCATTCAGACTGCTCTCAGGTGGTTTATTGTGGGGGTTCGATGCGGTCCTTGGCTCTTTGGGGCTGGTCGCTATGGGTGACGCGTCTGCTGAGTTCTCGGGGTTTGGCTCTCCTGGCAGTTCACGTGCGTGTGTCCAACGTCTTGGCGGATGGCTTGTCCTGTTTCATTCCCCCACTCCACAGAATGGACGGTCGACGCAGACTCATTCTGTTGGCTCTGCCAGACGTTCGGGCGCCCCAAGGTGGACCTCTTCGCAGCGGCGGGGTCGCGGCGCCTTCCCGTTTATGTGACGCCCTTCCCCGACTGTGAGGCTGTTAGGGTAGATGCATTTCGGCAGGACTGGTCGAGGTGGGAGGTTCCTGTACCTCCCCCCTCCCCCCTACTCCCACGGTTCCGCTGTTGCTCCAGGTCCTGGCTTGCTTGGAGACTACCAGGAGAGAGTCGTTCTCTTAGCTCCTTGGTGGCTGGCCCAGCCGTGGTTTTAGTCGCTGCTTGCACGGTGTCCGAACCCGAAGGTTTTCCCGCGGCTCCGCCTCTTTCAGCAGATCCGACCGGTGCGTTTCGTGGCTGGTTTGTTGTTCTCCTTGAGTCTTCGTGTATGGTGTTTCTGACTCGGGTTTATCATCATCTCTATGGTGAGCAGGTGGCTTCCTTGTTATTGTCCCACCTGAGGGCTTCTCGGCGGCAGTATGAAGTTTCCTGGCGGTCCTTCAAATTCTTATTGCATCTTTGTCATTTTGATACATTATCTGTTAGGATAGTGCTTTCCTTACTTTCTTAGTTGTTTCAGGACCGTCATCTTATACCTAACACTGTCGCCTCTTATCGTGTGGCGCTGGCAAAGCCGCTTCAGCTTGCGTTCGGCATTGATGTTACTTCTGCTCCATTTCGCAAGCTGTCTAGTGCGTTGTTTCACCTCTAGCCTATTCATGCTCTGCCTGAGCCGTCCTGGTCTTTGGACAGAGTACTCTCTTTTCTTTCTTCTCCTCGGTTTGTTGTGGCCCCTTCGGTTCAGGATTGTTTCTTAAGGCTCTTTTCTTGTTGGCATTGGTTTCTGTGGGTTGGGTCAGGGAGCTTCATGCTCTCTTCTAGTGCAGGAGTTTTTGCTCTTTTGGTAGGGGTGATCGGTTTGTTCGTCTGCAGCCGTCTCCTTCTTTTCTGGGGAAGAATGAGACTGCTGCTTTCCGGATGGGTCTTTGGGTTGTTGATGCTTGGTTGGTTTGGCCGGGGGTGCATCATGTTTTGTGTCCAGTTGCGGCCATCCGCCGTTATTTGCGTGCCAAGGCTTCTGTGTCCAGGGACGCGCTTTGGGTTCATTCGGTTTCCCTTCTTCCCTGTTCGCAGGTTCGGATCTCCCGGGTCATCCGCAGGGTTATTAAGTCTAGCCAGCCTGTGGTCTATTCCTGTGCCCATGACGTCTGTAAGTTCGCCGCCCTTGCTGCCGTTTTTGGCAACATGTCTTGGTCCGACATTTGGGTGCGCTGGCGCTCGAACAGGGTCCTGGCTGCTCGTTATCTTGTTAATGTTCCTGGGCCCAGTCGGGCCTGTGTTGCTTTGGGCCGGCAGTTGCAGCCGGTTGTCGCGAGTTCAAGTTGAGGAGTGAGCAGCGACTGCCTCCCGGGTAAGTCCCTGTGTTTTTATCTGTGGGTAGTTAGCTTCGGGGAGCCCCCAGAAAACCAGCGTTGAATGTAATGAAATGCCATTTTCTGGGTGAGACCCGGAGGCTCGCTGGCATCCCTTCCTCCCTCCCTCCCTCCGGTCGGCAGTTTTTTGCGTTTTCTTGACATCCAGCCTCAGACCTGGGGTGTGGATCGCCGGCGTGAGGGGTCTGGGGCTCCCCCTACCCTCTCCCGGGGAGTGGGGAGCTGCGCAGATGGCGGCGCGTTGACGTTTGACGACATGCTAGTTTACTTGTTTTTGTTTGAGGAGTTCTATCCACTAGTTCGGCTTTTGGTAGGAATTTTTACCAGAATAGCTGTTTGTTTCGGGGCGCTTACCTTTCTGGGTGCCTGATGGCAGACATAGAATGCTTCCACCACGGGGGTGTCTATAGGCCATTACTCTCCTTGCTTCTCTGAGGGGGCCAGGTTCTGGTTTGTGGTCCCCGGTAGGCCTATTGAACTCCATACACATGACTGATGCCAAAGTCTGACATTAGCATATCAGCCCATATAGATCTGGGGAAGCTTCCGGGTCTCTCCCAGAAAATGGCGTTAAATTACATTCAAAGCTGGTTTTTTCATTTTTGGCGCACCGATGTGTCGTCCCCGTGCAAAAGTGTTAAGGTTTTTCTTACTATCTATAGTACAATACATTATTGTACTACAGTATTGTACACTATGCGAGATAGACTTGTAAAACAGAGAGTGCCAGACCCCCAGCACCACGTGCTCATTCAACCCACACCTGTGCGAACAGACGTTGTCTTCCAAGTAAACCATCTTAATCCAATTCAAATTTTTAGATGATTTTGACATCGTATTCCAAAAAATTTGTTCTCTAGGGCAGTCGTCAGCTGAGGTTCCACTGTGTGTGTACGTATGTATGTATGTACAGTATGTATGGATGGATGGATGGATGGATGTATGTATGTATATGTAAGTATGACCTGACTTTTCATTACAATATTTGGTTTCATTGCTGATTTATAAGAAATATTAACATATTAACACCTGTATACAGTATTGTACTTGTACTGGTACTTATTTTCATTGCAGGTTGTGGACCGAGAAATAATACACAGTCAGGCAGAAAGTGATCGCAACAGTAGGATTAAGGATACCATGAGAGAACATTGTGTGGTAGATTTGACAAATTCCTGGTATGACATACTGGTAAGTGAATTACGTTTAAAGGTTTCTCATTATTTTTAATGTGATTATTGTTTTTGGTATAGTGAAAATTAAATGATAATGGGGTAAAATATTTAATTAAATGTGAGTTTCATTTCATTTACTTCAAAATTGTTTGTTTATACAGTGGGGCCTCGATTTATGATGGCAATCCGTTCCCGGAGATGGATCATAAGTCGAAATATCGTAAGCCGAATCGATTTTTCCCACGAGAAATAAAAGGCATTGAATTAATCCGTTCCCCACCCCCCAAAAATATTAACTTACAAATACATTTTATACTGAATGCAATTTTTTTCTCTAACTACAATACAGTTCATATGTTTATCTTATCTTTATGGAGGACTCATGATAGTGTATGGAAGATGATGATGAGGGTGGAGGAGGAGAGGGGTTACTGTTTGGAATGGGAGTCCCCTTCCATTATCACATCAGGCAGTGATGATTTCTCTGGGGTACTCTCTCCTACGTTTTGCCTGCTTACTTCTAGGACCTGGTTGTGGTTCACTGCTAGTTTGTCTCACTAAAAATTTGTCTAGTGACACTTGTTTTCTCCTTCGTTTTAACATTTATCTGTAGTGAGGCATCACAGTGTCATTGAAAAGGTTAAGGCAACGGCCTACTAGAGCTTGCTCTGGGTGAGTCGTTTCAACGAAAGTTTGCATTTCTTCTCACAGTCTACACCACTTTCTAATTGTGGAGGAAGGGACATTCTGTTCTGCCTCTTCTTTCCCTGAAGAAATTTGCTCAGCTGCCTCTATGGTCATCCTCACATGTGTTTTCATATGTTGAACCTTACCACTGACTTTCTTGGGACCCATGGCGTGATATATAATAATCAGTTTTATGTTCAAAATGCAAAAAAATCACTATAAAAATGGAATTTCTTATACGCGTGATCTTCACTAAGCAGTCGGCTCTAGTAAACTGAGGGAGGTCGACCCGTGTGACCGGGAACCATGCGCTCGGTCGACCAGAACGTGTATTAACGAATATCGTAAGTCGAGTCGCATTTTTCTATCAAATTTATATTGTAACTCGAAATTATCGTAAGTCGAGGTGCCACTGTATAATATAATTATTTAGTGCTACTGGGTTATTATTAATTCTTTGAATTTACTTCTGTGGGAGTATAAGGGCTGAAGATTTATTATTTTAAATAAACAATTCATTTATAATTGAAGACATAATTATAAAATATATATAGTAGAAATAGATATGATATATTTGACAGTACAAATAGATAGAACTTTATTGACAGTAAAGATAGATGTTACATTATATATTTATATGGAAGCAATGGAATGACTTGAACTCGTGACCTGGTGACTCCCGGTCGCCTGCCTTAACTGACTTGACCACGGTGGTACTAACTTGACCACGGTGGTACTAACTTGACCATGGTGGTACTAACTTGACCACGGTGGTACTAACTTGACCACGGTGGTACTAACTTGACCACGGTGGTACTAACTTGACCACGGTGGTACTAACTTGACCACGGTGGTACTAACTTGACCACGGTGGTACTAACTTGACCACGGTGGTACTAACTTGACCACGGTGGTACTAACTTGACCACGGTGGTACTAACTTGACCGCGGTGGTACTAACTTGACCACGGTGGTACTAACTTGACCACGGTGGTACTAACTTGACCACGGTGGTACTAACTTGACCACGGTGGTACTAACTTGACCGCGGTGGTACTAACTTGACCACGGTGGTACTAACTTGACCACGGTGGTACTAACTTGACCAACCCAGAACACAACCGTGGCCGAGTTCACGGCCAAGTTCTTTACGTGTGTAATTACCTAAGTGTTGTTACAGGATGAAAGCTATGCTTGTGGTGTCCCGTCTTCCCAGTACTCTTTGTCGTATAATGCTTTGAAATTACCAACGGTTTTGGCCTTCACCACCACCTCACTTAGTTTGCTCCAACTGTCTGCCACTCTGTGTGCAAAAGAAAACTTTCTAATATTTTTTGGCATGTCTTTTTCCCTCGCTTGAATCTATGCCCATCTTGTTCGTGAAGTTGCTGGTTTCAGGAATTCCTCTTTGTCAATTTGGTAGATTCCTGTTAGTATTTTGTAAGTAGTGATCATATTATCTCTCTCTCTCTCCTATCTTCTGGTTTTGCTAGTTTTTAATGCCTCTAGTCTTTCCTCGTTACTCTTGTTTTTCAGTTCAGGATTCCATTTTGTTGCATGCCGTTGCACCATTTTCAGTTTACTCATGTGCTTCTTGAGATTTGGGCACCATTCAACTGCTGCATTTACCAATTTTGGTCTCGCAAAAGTCATGAACAGTTTCTTTAGTATTTCACCACCATATAATTAAAAGCAATTCTAAAGTTGGAAAGTGACGCATACGCTCCTCTCATAATGTTCTTTGTGTTTCTTTTGGCGACAGCTTACTTTCCAAAACCACCCCTGGGTCTCGTTCTTTATTAGAGTTCTGTTATGCCTTTCCTCATAATTTATATGTTGTGTGGGGTCTATTTTCTCCAATTCCACATTCCATAACATAGCATTGATTTACATTGAATTCCATTTGCCACTTGATGCTCCATGCACTTACAGTACTTGATCTAGATCAATTTGAAGGGCATTACAATCGTATTCGTCTCCTATCTTCCGCAGTATTTTAGCATCATCTGTAAACATGTTCATATAATTCTATTTTCCTTCTGATAGATCATTTATGTAGACAATTAACGTTACCGGTGCAAGAACTGGCGTTACTCCGCTAGTAATGCTCCTCCATTCAGATAAATTTTCTGATTACTGCCCTCATCTGTCTGTCAGTTAGAAAATTTTTCATCCATGTCAGAAGTCTCCTTGTCATTCCTCCGGCATGTTCCAGGTTTGAGAACAGCGTCTTGTGTGGGACTCTGTCAATAAGCTTTTCTTGGGGGATCCCTTTCGGCTCCCCGGAACTTACTAGGCTGATATGCTAATGTCAGACATTGGCATCAGTTATATGTATGGAGTTCTGTGGGCCTACCGGGGACCACGAGCCAGAACCTGGCCCCCTCAGAGAGGCATGGGAGCAATGGCCTATAGAAACCCCCGTGTGGTTGGAAGAATTCTATGTCTGCCATCGACTGGGTCAGGCACCCAGAAAGGTAAGCATCCCAAAACAAACCCCTATTCTGGTGAAATTATTGCTACCACAAGCTGAACAAGTGGATAGAACTCCCTTAAAAGAAACGAGCAAACAAGCATGACATCACACGTCACCGCGCCGCTGTCTGCACAGCTTCCCCCCTCCCCAGGAGGGGGAAGGGGAAGCCCCAGACCCCCGCGCCGGCTATCCACCTGTCAGTTCTAAGGCTGATGCTAGAGGCTGAGGTCGTGTGCTCTGGCTCCGTGCTCTTGTTTCAGCACTGTACCTAGTGTGTGGTGATTGTCTTCTAGATGGTGCGTGAGGCGGGAGTGATTCTCCGGTACTCGGGCTGCATGCGCCTGGGGTTTCCTTCCCAAGGTGACCTGTAAGTACTGCCCTTGGGGCTTGGGGCCATCTTCAACAAGTTCCTTGGGTTCTGTCCCTTCTAGGCCGTTTACTGCTTGGTTTTCAGCCGCCCTCTGTGTGCTAGAGTGTTCTGTCTCCTTTGTTTGCCATAGGGTAGGGGACAGGTTGCATTGGTAGGGGCACAGAGTACTGCGCAGCTTGTTTTCACCAATCATAATGGCCAACTCTGTTTTGCCTGGGTATGTTGTCCTCTTGTGGGGTTTTCTTTTTTCATTTGTCTGCCTGGTTGGGGGGGGGGGCGGTCTGCCTTTGTTCTTACCCCCTGCATAGTGAGAACTCCTCCTTTTTCCGGTGGTTCCCCCTGTTAGGTCCCCGTGAGTGTACACGTCCCGGGGGTTCAGTTCTTAGAAAGTTGTTTGGTATTTGTTGGCGCCGGTTAGCAGTACCCTGCCTGGGATTACCTGGGCATGAGTCCCTATAGGTAAACGCTCAGGACCCTGGGAAACCCCGCTTGGGCGCGTGGGTCCGATGGTGTGACCCCAGAGTCCCCCCTCGCTTTGTGCGAGTTCAAGGGTTTCTCTGTCCCCTTGTCTCAGGGTGACACTCACTGTTTTGCCTCCGTCTGCCCGACTGTGGGGTCGGTGGCACCTTTGGCCCAGAGCCCTGCGAGTTTTGTTGCATGTTTGTGGCTCGTTTACCCAGTCTTATGCTGACTCTGCGGGTGCAGGCAGCATGGGTGTTGCCAGTTGAGTTTCAGTGGTGCAACCCTCTGGATCATTTGCTCCCCGGAAGCACCGTTTTGGTTGGTGTGACGGGGCTTGGGGGTGTTGAACGCTTCGGTTTTGTTCTTTTCACGCCCCCTTGTCAGCATCCGAATCCTTACTGTTTGTGAGTTCGGGATCAGGGTGGGGCTTCCATGGTCTTGAGACTCGGGCGGTCTCTGGGATTTCCCCCTTCCGGGGTAGCCTCCTCCACCTTCTCATCTAACTTGTTCCAACCGTCTACCACTCTGTTTACAAAAGTGAATTTTCTTATATTTCTCCGACAGCTTTGTTTCGTTAGTTTAAATCTATGATCTCGTGTTCTGGACGTTCCAGGTCTCAGGAATTCTTCCCTATCAATTTTATCGATTCCTGTTACTATTTTGTACGTAGTGATCATATCGCCTCTTTTTCTTCTATCATCTAGTTTTTGCATATTTAATGCCTCTAACCTCTCCTTGTAGCTCTTGTCCTTCAGTTCTGGGAGCCACTTAGTGGCATGTCGTTGCACCTTTGCCAGTTTCTTGATGTGCTTCTTAAGATATGGGCACCATACAACTGCTGCATATTCCAGCTTTGGTCTAACAAAAATTGTGAACAATTTCTTAATATTTCTCCATCCATGTATTTAAAAGCAATTCTGAAGTTAGAAAGTGTAGCAGAGGCTCCTTGCACAATGTTCGTAATGGGGTTCTCAGGTGATACTTTTCTATCTAGAACCACCCCTAGATCCCTTTCTTTGTC